CTCCAGCAGGTCTCAGCTCGGTCTGGGCTTATGACCCAAAGTCATCAAGCACCTGTGTCTTTTGGACGGTCAGTAACATTTAAGGAAGCCTTTTCTGTTTGGAACACCCAATGTGCTGCTTTTTTTTTTTTTTCCTTTTTGTCTTTTTTACTGACCGGCAACGGTATCGCAACCCTCGGTGTCGCGCCCGCACCGCGCTCAGCCAGTGAGTGGGAACGGGTCTCCACATGGGATCCGAACCCCCGGCGGGAGCGCCGCCGCGCTCTCAAGCGGCGCACTCTCCAGTGCGCCACCGGGCCGGCCCGCAATGTGCTCCTTTTGCCTGCAGTGACAAAACCCACTTTCTCACTTTATTATAGAAACTCCTGTGGGGGGAGGCGGTGTAATAGCAACTAAGTGCCCTCGCTCCTACAGCCGCTCTTCTCTGTGAGAGACAACCATGGTTGCAGCAGGATCTTTGATTCAACAGGGCTTATTAGCAACTATTGCATTAGACCAGGGCAGACTCCGCTTTTCTACGATCTCCGGATTTTCTACAAATTGTAATGCTTTTATTATCTGAAGAAAAAAGAGGGGACACAATACACTTTCTCATCCAGTCAGTAACATTTATTTCTGCTCAACAATTAAGGTGCATGTCCCAGAACCTGCAACTTGTTCTCAGACGCTTCACATCATTGGTCCCAAGGAGCTCATTGTTAAGAGAAAGTGACAGACGTCTCTAATTCCTATGGATTTTCAGAGCCCAGAAAGAGAGCAGTGTGAACTTACATCCAGCCCCAGTCTTGATGAGATCCAGAGTGAGCATCACTGGGGACCGGGTTGGTTCTTTGGTACACAGGTGCACGTTCATGTCACTAAAGAAACACCAAAAATTAGGAAATGAACAGGAGATTCTGCACCTACGAAGAAGGAGCAGAAGTCAGCCCTGGGCACCAGCCGTAGTGGACACGTCTGCCACCGGCACTGCCGGGAGGTCAGCCTGGCAGGGGGGTCAGGACATCCGCAGGAGTCAGATGGTCTCAGCTCATTCAGCGAATATCTGTGAGCACCTGCTATGCGCCTGGGACCATTCTGGGTGCTGATGACACCGACACCGTAGCCAACAAGACATGGTGGTGCTCACAGACACTTGTGGTTCTTAACACTTGGGGGTCAGGCGGGAGTGGTGGACTCAGGGCCACTCTTCCAGCTGTGTCACGGGAGCTCTTTCCCTCCTGGTTTCCAGCTAGGTTCAGCCAGTGGAAGGCGCGGGAAGAGGAGTGGGGGGTGGGAGGAGAGAGAAGCCGGCAGGTGCCCGCCCTCCCTCCATGCAGCGTGTCCTCTGCAGCTCGCCGTTCCCTACCCCAGCCCCCTGCGTGGCCTCTCCACCCCTAGGCTGTGGCAGCTCCCATGGGAGCTCGTCCCTGGCCCCTGCCCGCAGGCTCCTGCCCAGCACAGTGACAGCCCAGGAACCCCACTCTGCCCACAACCTGCTCCCTTTCTGAAGCTCCCTATGCAGTCTCGCATTCTGTGAACCGGATATGGATGCTGCTCTCCAGGCAGCGGCCTCTCCCGGCGGGGACACCCACATTCTCCTTGCCCATGTCAGGTTCAGGTTCACAGCTGCCTCCCTTCCACCAGCAGCTCAAACTTGGACAAATCCCTGGATTTCTGTACAACTTAGCTCCTTGTTTTATGTATAGCTCATGCAGAGGCTTTAGGTCAGGGAGAGACTAGAGGTCTCGTTCCTCCAGCCAAGTCCACCTGCTCCCAGGGACTCACCAGGGGCAGGCACTGGGCCAGGAGCCCACTCCGGGGGATGCAGCGGTAGGGGCTGACCTCGGTCAGCTGGAGGCAGCACTGGCTCCTGCAGTCCCCGTGGCTGTTGCAATAATCTCCATTGGGCTGGGGGGACATGGGCCAGAGGTTGCTCCCAACCCAGGGCAGGCTCGAAATCCTCCCTCCAGCCGACTGGGGCAGGAAACAAAAGGCAGCTGCCCTCCCCTCAGCACTGCCTGGGGATGCCAGTGTCCCTCGGCTGCCCGCCTGCCACCCATGGGGGCTCACCTTGTGCCAGTCCATGCACTGCAGGAAGATGGTCTTGGGGGTGCAGAACCGCTGGGAGCTGTAGCTGTTCCGAACACAGCAGTTGCTCCGGCATTCAGAGTGTTCTGAGCAGGTGTGCCTGTTCGGCTGCAGGGGACAGGAGACCGTGTCCTTTCAGCCCCTCTCCACCGCGACTCCTTTCTCTGGCTCTTCCAGAAGCAGGTAGGAGCATGGGGCAGTACAGCAGGCCTCAGTCCTCTCTGCCCCTGCCGCCCGTGCCCAGCCGCGCGGGTGGACGCACCTTTTGCCATGACAGGCACTGGAGGAGGGTGGTCTGGGGGGTGCAGAACTTCTGCGGGTTCGGGCTGTTGGTGACGCAGCAGTTGCTCAGACACTCGGAATGGTTTTCGCAGGCCTCTCTGATCCCCTGAAACATCGGGGCTCCGTGTACCTGCTCCAGGGCAGGCCCTGCAGACCCAGCTTCTCGATGCTGACTCAGAAACGGCCTCCACCCGCCTCTGGCTTCCCTGTGTCAATTACCCGTCAAACTCGAGTCCCACGCCACATCGCCTGGGAAGTTTCTGGAGCATGCCCAGGCCTCAGTAGGTCTGGTAGATCAACGGTAGTGTGCCCAGTGGCAAGGAAGGAGAAGGGAACGCCTGCCGTGAGCCACACGGACAGAGGCAAACCAAGGCATGAAGGGTCTAGGGGCTGCGGCAGAGGGTGATGGAGGAGATGGGCTGCAGACGCGCCTGCAGGGAGGGCTTGGTGCCTCCTATGCCCAGCATCTTACAGGCGAAGAAACTGAGGCTTGAAGAGGGC